TTCAGCGTAGACATATGAGTTTGGCGTCATTGTTTTGTTATGCACAGCTTTCAGAAAAACATACCAGCATTGATAAAAGGAATTGATAAGCTCAGAGGCATACCAGATAGGCATACCAGATGGATCTCAACTGGAACCAGTTCTTGATCCCCGTCCCTATTTGTATCGAACATAATGTCTCCTGTTCTATCTAGACATGTATGATAAACATATTAACATCCATCCCCTACCTGCTGATTCAATTTTTTTCTTGTGTACTTATAACATAACCTCACAGACAGCCAATCAGATCACTCAGATCCACTGCCCTCTGAACTACATATACAACCCACTACTAATATGGATGTGGTGAACTGCACTGAACTGATTAGAATTTGGTGCTCATAGATCAAGGCCACTGTGACCAAAACACATTTTTTGGCCATAACCCAAGATTTGATCAGCTAATTATGACAAAATTTCCGCAAATTTGTCACAAACATCCACTTGGACTCAAGAATGAACTGATTAGAATGTGGTGGTCAAAGGTCAAGGTCACTGTGACCAAAACACATTTTTTTGCAATAAGTCAAGAATTCACATGCTAATTGTGACAAAATTTCAAGTAACACTATAGATAAATTAAAGTGTACATAAATAATAAAAAATGCAGATAGATAAATGTGTGAATAAATGACTAAGTAAAAAAGTTAATATAGAAATACATTAATAAATATTAAATCTGTAAATGTATTAAAAAAGAAATTCACAATAACATTAATTGATTCACTAGTGTTTAGTGTTTCACTTAATTTGTGATTTATTCTTTTTAAGCATTAAATTACTTTTTTATTTATTTAAGCATTTTGTCATAGAATTATTTATTTATGTGATCATTTAATTAAATACCTATTTTACCTTGTAATGAAATATATATATTTAAAATTTAACGGAGCTAGAATGAAGTCTTATCTACACTGGAGCCATTTCAGCTGTGTTTCATAGCCATCTGTCTCATACCTGACTGAACAGACATGCTGCTATATTAATCAATACAGCTGGTTGTGTAGGTAGAGTAACAGCAGCATTTACTCGTGCTGTATATGTGTGACCTCAACTGTCACTGAGGGTAACTACAGTGATTGTGTGTTGAGCTGTGAGCTCACTCACACTCATCTCTGTTCCTGAACACATCCTGTGTAAACACAGATGGAACACCGACGCTGCTGATGGTGCTCTGCTAACATGCTGCCTTTAGTACACAGCCTGTGTAATATCAGTATGTGATTGAAGTTGTCTGAGTGGATTGGACTGGTGGCGGTTGTTAAGTGCTCATGAGCCGTGCTGACACAGCAGGTTTGATCTGTCACTGGCTGCCTTTAGAAGCAGTGCGACAGTAGCGGTAGAGTGAAGGGATGACTGCCTCCTGCTTAGGCTCAGGATTCAGACTGATGACGTTACAGACACAGGCCAGATGTCCAGCCTCAGGCTTACATCACCACCCCCTCCTCTGTATGCCGGTTATTTTTACATGTGTACAGAGGTTTTGGATATTGTTTAGTATTTGCATGTGTGTGTTTGTTTGCACATCTGTGTGTTCTTAGAAGAATCTGGAGATCAAAGAGCAGACTAATCCTTTTCACTGCAGGTTCACTCAGTCCATCTGTAATCAGCTGTGGTCAGCATGTGATGATGTAACACGGCACTCATCTTTTCCTTACTGCGTCTCTCTTCCCTCTCTGGCAAAAGCCTGGCAATGGCAATCACATAAAGGGGTGATTTCCTACTCAGAATTTAACTTCATCTTAAGTAATTCATCTAAAAGTAATTTAATACTGCACAAAACAATGAAGAACTCTCATATAAAGAACAGTATTCATGTTGTGTGGTCTATACAAACAAATGATGAGGCCAAAAGTAAACAGGAAAAAAAACACTCCTTATTGTTAAGAAATGTAAGCCAACTGTTTAAAAAGATTCCATTTCGCCCTATTCAGTCACAGAGTTATACAATGCCAATCCACCTTATTTTTTGCCCCCATGATATGTTGCATGAATATAGGAGCAATACCTTTAGAAAATGTTTGCAATGAATTTAGGGGCACCACCCTCCTATGGAGGGAAGCGACTAACCAAATTAATAACTCCGAAAACCAATTATTAATTCGTCAGTACACTTATCAATAATAAATCAATCTCAATACCTGGGTTTTGAATTCTTTATACAGTGATCTTAGTTCCTGCTCAAATAAAATATCCACAGACAATGACTTGGCGATAAATAAAATCAATCAATCAAGGAAATTTCTTCAAAATGGCACAAACATTCACTTGGCCTCGAGGATGAACTTATTGGATTTTGGTGGTCAAAGGTCAAGTCTGTATAACCTCATCTGTCTCATTCTTGGGAATGTGATAACTTAAGTGGATGTGGGCAATATGGCCCTAAAATAATATCACGATATTTCAGGGTGTTTTTGCAATAATGATATTCTTTACGGTATGACAAATTAGTGAAAATAAATAAATAAATATATATATGTGTACATATAAAGTAATTAAGTTATGACATTTTATAGCCAAAAGGTCAAACCTCAAGTTCATTGTGACATCATAACGTTCTACATAAAACACTTTTCTGGCCATTACTCAATGTCATATCTCAGGAACAGAAGGGGAGACATTTGGTCAGTTACTGAATTGGTGACACTAATCTTGGGTGGCCACCTTGAAACTGTGCTGATTGTATAGATCTTCTGTCCTGCTGGAGGGAAGATGTGTTTGAAGCGTCCATGTTTTCACAGACATGGATGTAAACTGTAAGAGAAACTTGACTGGTACGCAGAGGCATACAACCGAGGGATGGTAATTCTAGTTTATTCCTTATGTAATTTCAAGCATGTGAAAACATGATGTATGCGTGAGTGTGCATGAAAAAAACAGGAAAAATCCTGTCCCATATAGATTCAATAAGGAACGAATTTTGGGACGTGAATTTTTTTGTTCTGTTTCAGGGTGGCAACCTATTCCTCTCTGTAGGTGGGTGATGGACACTGTACTGTTGGTTACAGAAACAATCCAGTTTTGTTCGGGGTGCATGTTCAATACTGTTGTTTAAGCAACAAATTTAGTCTGGTTGTCTGGAGTCTGGTTGTTAGTAACATTACAGATGTGAACAACGGGCACCAGAGCTCCATACAGCAGCGCCCTCAGGAATCAAGTGGATGATAGACCTGTGTTACATTGTTTTTCTATGACTTCACACTGAATGGTGTTAAGGTAAATTAATTTGTGCATTATTTTTGCTGTGTACATGAATACATTTTGATTTATTCTGCCAAAACTGTTGGTTTTGACATATAGAGCTGATGATGCTGAGTAATCCAGCAAATAAGTTGTCTGGAAAAAAAGCTGAACCTCGGTCAATCAGGTCATCACCCTTATAACTCCACCTGTCTCACAGTGTTATAATCCTCTGTATAGCGTTTTGACATCTGATAATACTTATTCATGTATCTGTCACCCTAACTGGCCTTCATGGATTGTGTTTATTTGTTTTACCTGTGCCTGAAAGAACACAGCCCCACCAACTCAGTCAGCATTAGAACGCCCGGTAACGCCAACAGATAGAAATCCTTTCCTAAGTTTAGAAAGCTGATGAAATTGGGGTGTCGGTAGCGTAGTGGATAGTGCCAGCGCCCCATGTACAGAGCCGATGACTCGCTGCAGCGGTCGCGGGTTCGACTCCGGCTCTCAACCATTTGATGCATGTCTCCCCCCCTCTCTCCCTCACTCCCCCATTTCACTCGCTCCTGTCAATTCTCTCCTGTCAATTAAAGGCAAAAGCCTGAAATAATAATCTTAAAAAAAAAGAAAGAAAGCTGATGAAATGCCAAGCCCATCCAAAGTTTAATCATGCTGTGTATGACTGAGAATTTTTGGTCAGTCAGGACTGTTTTCTTACTCTGAGACTAACAGGCCCTAATTTCTTGATTTATTTCTCTGGTAGTGTTGTAAAAAATATGGATTTACATGTCAATTTTGAATATTTGTAATGGTTTCAATACTATTTTTCCGTAGTATCAATACACTGGTAACAGCTATGTTTTCTTGCTCTCTCTTGTTAATGTTTACAGTCGTTCTGCAGTCAAAAAAAGGCATCGTTTTAATGTAATAGCCTTGTGGTATTCATTTATAACACTATTCTCAATATTGGATTCCATGTAATTTTTTTACCGCCAATATGCTGTAGGCACCTCACACACATGCAGCCGTCATACCATATACCATAATGAAATGTCATGAAGGTATGAAACAATAGATACCGCCCAAGTCTGTCATATTCCTTTTATTACTTAATATTTGACTGGTCATCAGTCATTTGAATATGCTGTCATCATCATTGCTGCTTCTGTCAGCTGTCAGTAAGCTGTCATCTGTCCAAGGCTCAGTCCATGTGACTTCTCTTTTGCTGCGCAGAGGATTGTGGGTCAGAATAGTCAGACAAGCATGCTGGCCTGCACACTGCACAATGTGACCAGGTGTAGTAGGACATCCTGGTACATTTGGAATACTGCATTTGACAAACTAAGTACTGGGGCTAAATAGTACTAAATAGTATGATAGTATGGGTATTTGAACGCACCGTCAGTCTACAGAGTGCTCCCTCTGTCCTCATCTTTGTATTTTATTCCTGCTGTCTAGTTTGAGTGTGTGTGATGAATGTCAGAGTTTATGATTCGGTGTTTAACATTAACCCCAGATTTGAAGGCAATGAACACAGTAAACTGTTTATGGTTAAATGAACAATCTGTTTTACATTTACAATGATTTACTTCTGAATGAACGTTTGACCAATATTAAATTGAGGTGTCTTATTTTACTGTACTTCAGTCCTGTAACACTGATGTGCTAAAACAAGCATTAAAGGCAGATGTCAGCTGTTACTTATTACACTTTACCATGCTTTACTTTGCTAAAATTAGCCTTGATTTTCAGCACCACCTTTGTCTTTGTTGCAGGTATTTTGCAGCATCCAGATGGAACAGTTCTGAAACAGCTTCAGCCTCCACCTAGAGGTCCACGAGAGATGCAGTTTTACAGCATGGTAATACCTCTATTCTCTTACACAATCACATTTTACTTTTAGTTTTCATCAGTGTTTCCCTTTGAATGTTGGAAATTCAAATCATCAGTTGGAGACCCCTAGGTCAACTGAGGTTGCTTCAAGTGGAGCAGTCTTTTATTAATTAATTTATTTTTTTGCTAGTCAGTGTGCTGTGCAGTGTTCTTCTGGTGACGTTTTGGTCCCCAGATTTTGCTGCAGAGTGAGCACCCTTGACTTTCAAGCTACTCTATGGTACAGACAATAGCATACATGATGCAGCAGCACAGAGGAGGAGAAACTGTCCACTGGAAGGCTCCAAGATAACATTACATTACATTATCTTCTCTCTACTGCTTGGAAGTGGTGAATTTACAGCTCACAGCAACTTGATACGACACTCAGTACGTTTGCATGACATTAGAAAAAATTGATTTATTGTGTTAGTCGGACTAAAACTGGACTTCTAAAATACATGTAAACATGTTAGTCTGACTGAAATCATACTAAAACGAATTTCTCAAAGTCTGACTGACTGTATACATGCAGGAGTAATTCGACTCCTAATTACATTATCTGGGTGTGTTAGTCAGACCCAAACTGGCATAGGCACTCTGCGCATGCTCCACAGTTTCCAACCTGGGCTTTGACCCGGAAGTTGAATAGCATAAAATACGTAACAGAAGAAGAGAAGGATCAGGAAAAGTTAAATGTACAGCATATAAGAACTGTACAGAGCTGTGACGTTGTCCACTGTGGTACCAGTTTGCCACGTAGCTAACTTGTTTGTCAGTTGTTTGGCTTGTAACGTAATAGTTCAACCAGAAATACTAACAAGCTGAAGGGGGGCATATCGCTACCTATTGTAGCGATGTCTGACATGCTTCGGTCAATAAATCAATTCCCATGCTTGTATACTGGGACAAGGACAGTATTCCAATTAAATGGCCTAGTTGAGCTATAACCACTAAACTGTGCATGTATGTGTACTGACAGTCTCTGGATTTTTTGATATCTAGTGTCGGCAAAATATGTTGTTGCACATTTCTTTCATTAGTGCAGTTTGCTTGTTTACTGTAGTACATGAATGCTACTGTCCAACTGAAAGTCCCGCAGAGCCCAATTTAAACTTAAAAAAAAAATTAAAAAAAAAAAAGATTTGTTGAATATTTGTATTGAATGGTAGCAATCTGATTCGACTGACATAATTCTGAGTTAGGTACAGCCCTAGTTTTTATATCTTAATGAATATGAAACAGGTGTTTATATATTTATTGGCATTGTTCTAGAGTGTTGAAAATCTGATTTTAAGAAAAAAAATTCCAAAAATCAGATTATAATAATAAAAAAGTGGAACAAACATTCTGTTGTCTCCCCATGTGCATGAGCTGTCTAAGCTGTCACCACGACAGAATAGCCAGGTGAAAATAAGGCTACATCCACACTTATACATTTTCATTTTAAAATGCGTTACTATTGCTACATCTACACCAAGTGTCCAAACTGCTCTGTCCATTTGGAACCCCTAAAATGGAGACCTTTAAAAAAAACGTTGTTGATCCCGTTTTAGTTAGAAAACTCCAGGGTTTTAGGGTTTTTTGTGTTTTAGTCTGGATGGACGAATTATGGAGACCTTTGAAAACAGTGACATGGGTCTGATTAGTTGCAGTATCAAGTCAAAACTTTATAGCTAGGTCTACATACCTTTTGTGGTTTTATCCTTCACGTGTGGGTACTCCTTTCCTTTTGCCACGGCTTCCTCCGGCGATGGATAATGTTCCTGGTACTGCTCTAGCTTGATGCCAAATATATTTGCAACGACTTCCTATCTGATTTTTGCCACCTTAACCACCTTACACTCATGTTACTTTCACTAACAGTTCCACCTCATTGTAGGTCCAAGCAAAGAAATCCCTGGTCCCACTTGTTGCCATCTCTGAGGTGTGTTCTGTAGGCAACCAACTGCACAGAAGACAGTCAGCTTGTTCAGTACATGTGTGCCCAGTGAGTGTGAATTGTCATGTGATTTGTGTTTTCAGGCGTGTTAGTATGGATGGAGATTATTTCTGAAATGGTGCTAAAATGCTTGCCTTTATTTTAAGACCCTGACACACCAAGCCAGTAATGTTAGTCAGTAATGTTGGGCCATGGGTGAGCGTCTGTCGCCCTAGTCTTTGCTGTGTGGCCACACAGTTTGCCCTTGGTCGCCTTAATCAGCTTTTATTCAACCAAATAAGCATGTTGAATTGTTGTCGAAGACGGTGGAGCTCGTCGCTGACTGAAATCACCGTGATTGGTAGGTCAGCTCAGCACAAGAGAAGAGAAATGGAAGTGTGCAAAGTAAAGAAAGAGCTAAAGTCAAGAGGGAGTGAGACCATAACAAACTTGTTACATACGGTCAGATTATTTTTCTTTATCCATTGAGCTAACTGGCTAACTAGGGTCAACACAGTCTTCCAGTTTCTGGGGCTGTAGTCTCCTGGTTGACTAGTCGATTATTTGGTCAATATGCTCTCGTCCGACCAAATTCTCATTAGTCGAATAATTGCCGTGTTACTTTCATAAGGAGAAAAGTGCTACATCAATAGCTTTCCAGGATTAATCCATTATTTCTTGCAGCGGGGAGGACAGGCAGAGTTACCTGTGAAAATGTTGACAGAAAGTTGAACTCGCCCACCCTAGGCTCAGCGTCGCGGTGACGCAGACCTCCTGTCAGTTTCTGTAAGCTGAAACCATTTCCCACAGTGGAAACGAAGCTTGTATTTACTTGTATTTCACAGATAAGAAACAATGATTTGTGAATACAGTCAAGCCCCCACTTAAATAGCATTTTAAGTCGTGTGTGATCTATCCTTCAGGGATTTATACTTCGGGATTCATCCTAGCTTCATATGAACAGAGGAAATCTCCGCTCATCGCTAGGCAAATTTATACAATGTAAAATGCCATAGGCTGGAACTAATAACGTTAGCATGTTGTATTTGTCTGGGAAACGTGTTTAGTACAGGACAGTTGTTTTGTCAGTGAACTTTGTGAGTTGTAATGTAGCCAAACTGTGTGCCATTACCTTTGTTGAATGTTGCTGTTGTCCCTGGCTTTATATGAGAAGAGGAAAAGATCGCGAGACACTAGGCTAATTTATACAATGTAAAATGCCATAGACTTGTGCTAATAACGTTAGCATGTTGTATTGGTGGGGGAAATGTGTCCAGATAAGACAAGTATTTGTCTGTCAATTCTGCGATTTATAGTGAAGCTGATTTGTGTACTTGTGTTTGAAATTGTCCCTATTAAGCCATATTTAATGCGTGTTTTGAATCAACTAAACTTTACAGCACTTAACACAGTCCTCCACCACCAACTAGCGTTTTGGAGGTGTAACTGCAGAGTGACACAGACACACCACCACAGAAGTAAAAATAACATGCAGATTTTTTTTACCCCCGCAACTAATTGATCAGTTGAAGATTATGTACGACTTTAGTTAACCAAGATTTTCTTTGGTTGACTACAGCCCTACCAGTTTCCCTTTATGAATAAAGATTGCAGAAAACCACAGTCTGTTGGTTGTAGAGAGTTATTTCCTCTCACACAGGCACAGAACTGTAGTCTGTAGTCTTTGCGGTGTGTACGTATGCAACTTTTTGGCCAAGACACGGTGATGTAAGGCAATGCAACAGTTGGCTTTCGTCGCCGCTAGTTCTCTAATGTCAGTGTAGTGTGTTTGGGCCTTTAAATGAAAATGTATGAGTGTGGGAGTGGCCTAAGTATAGTGTGAAAAATAAAGCTTTTCAAATGTAGTCTAATAATTTCCTTTTCATTTGCCACCACTGTATTGATTACATAACCAATTGATTTAGATAACATTTTTTACATTTAATATTAAGGTGTCAGTTGTTGCAGTAATCATCAATCCATTGATTTTTTTTCCTGTAAAAGGTCAAGTATAGTGAAGAGTGGCATCTTCAGATGTTTTATTTTGTTCCAAAAAATTACAGATATAAAATAGAGAACTTCTTTATATCTGAGACTAGTTTTTTCAACTAACTAATCATGTACATTCTTAATAATCAGTAATGACATTCCATATGGGTGGATGTCATCGCACAGTGGCACATGTGTGTGTGTTGCTTCACAGCTTCAGTGTTTGCTTTAGAGCTTAGCAGCACTGTCAGTCTCAGCAACTCTCATAGCAGTGAGTCATAGTGTCATGTCCGCCCGTCTCTTGACCAAACCAGTCACACCTAATCCCAACAACACACACATCTCTCACATTGACCCCACATCCTGCACACAGCTGGATGTCTTGTAACTAAACAGGTCATATTTAACATCACGGGGCTGCTGTAATACTGTTTATTGTGCTGAACTGTTGCCATTTTCATGATAATGAATTCAGATTTTTCACTTTCTATCAGTATTTTTTTTTAGTATCCAGGCAGAAAAGCCTCAGAAATACATCTTTTGAGGTTTGGTTCAGACAAAATAAGCACTTTGGACTTTGTCACCTTGGACTCTGGGAACATGTGATGGATATTTCAATATCTTCTGATATTTGATTGATTAATCAATTAATAGAATAATCCAAAAAGTAACAAACAGATTAAAGCCCTACACTAAATTTACAGTGTCCACCTATATGTGCTGTAGTATGATGAAATTAATGTGTGTGTGTGTGTGTGTGTGTGTGTGTGTGTGTGTGTGTGTGTGTGTGTGTCATAGGTGTATGCAGAGGACTGCTGTGATCCATGCCTTCTGGAGCTTCAGAACCATCTGCCCAAGTACTATGGTACCTGGTCCTCTCCTGACAGCCCCAATGGTGAGAGACTGAACTCTGTGTGTATATCCATCCCTCTCTTACTTATGTCCAAAATACATGCAGGTTAGGTGAGTTGGCCCTTCCTATGATATACTGGTAATTATAGCCCAGCTGATGCTGGGTTTCTGAATCCAATACTGATAGTGAAAGTTGGAAATTCAAATCATCAATTGGAGACTCCTAGGTCAACCGAGGTTGTTTCAATTTTTTTTTTTTTTTTTTCTTAAGTCAGTGTCCTGTGCAGTGTTTTTTGAGTTATTTTTGACTTTAACAAAATCCTAATTTTGGCCAACATTATTTGGCACAACACAAACAAACAATCTTTATTTTTGAATAATGATCAAGAGACTTACTGAGCAGGACATTTTACAGCTGAAAACTAAACTCATTACCTTGTGAACCTGATGACTGTGCTACCAAATTCAGTGGAAATACTAAAATGACCTTTACCTCAGTTTGGCTTTTCTGTCCTGCAATTTGTTGTTGCATAGAGATTTTTTGGCAGTAAGTGGGAAACTAATATATTGGTGTAGCTCTGGTGCTAATTTCTCTGACCCTGTGTATGTTGGGTTAGGTGCAGGCCCTGTAGCACTCAATGTGACAAGTGGGTCAAACCCCGATTGGTTTCATTTTCAAGGGATCTGGAAAATGACTATTTGTATATCAATTAATAATTGCTTGTCCCCTTGAATTTGTGAATAAAACTTTGTTTTTCTTGCATGTTGCCACATTTAACTGAGAATCCAAAAAAGGCGAACATTCTTATAAATTAAAGTAAACAGGGACCGCATTTAACAACAGCAAAACTAGGTGTGGGTGAATATCAAATATACTGAATGTATTGTGGCTTGTTTGTTGTGAGCTGTATGAAATGACTATATTGCGAAAATTGAGAAGATGAAGTTAAACAGAAGAGTTTGTTTCCACAGCTCACTGTGAATAAATCCTCATGTTTAAAGGAGCAGTGGCAACAGTTTAACTTTCTGCTAACTGCTAACATCTGACCGTTGTCCAGGGCCCTATTTCAGAAAGCAGGATTGGTGAAAACTTTGAGTATGTTACTGTGTTACTATGGCAACATACAATTTTGCTAAAACATTACGATTTAAAACATGTCAGTATAAATAGTCTCATGGAGTCTCGTGTTGTCAGTAAATATGCATGTGTTTGGGAAGTACTGAGCATCCGACTGGATCAGTGAGACTGGGATTATACTACACAAGTTTTGTCAGAGTTTGAAAACAGATGTTTTGATATAGTTTTGTTTAGGGCTGGGCAATATGTCTTTGTTGTATGAGAGTTTGCAACTAGATGTTTAGATATAGTTTTGGTGTTGCAAAATGTGAACCCCTGCAACTTCATTTCATGAAGAATGTTCACTTTTTTGGGATTCTCAGTTTACCAAATTCAAGGTAACACAGGGTAAGTAATTGATATACAAATGGTCATTTTGTGGGTGAAGTATTCTCTTATGGAAAGATGGTCTCGTTGCAATTTCAGCCATAAAATCCAAATTACCATAAGCTATTGTTATTTCTTCTACAACCTAAATTCTTCTTATTCGTCTAAAGAGTATGTGATGCTCCTGTGATTGAGAAAGGAATTTACTGCAAGTTAAATAAACTGTTGGGTAAAGTCCTCCCTCATCACTCTGTAAACATTTCTCTCAGATGTGTGGTGTAAAAAAACAACCTCATATCAGAAACATGTTATCAGCAATATTGATTGTTCAGTATGATTTTTTAATTAAAAAGCCTATATTAGTTTCATATAAACAAACCAATAACAACTGTATACCACACCTCAACACTGTTGTGTCCATGCCGCTGCCTCAGACCTGTACCTGAAGCTGGAGGATGTGACTCGACGCTTTGTCAAGCCATGCATCATGGATGTGAAGCTGGGCCAGCGGAGCTACGATCCATTCGCCTCACAGGAGAAACGGGAACAGCAGATCAGAAAATACCCACTGATGGAGGAGATAGGCTTCCTGGTCCTTGGCATGAGGGTGAGTTTGACCTGTTGTGTTGGTGAGGAGGATCTTTTCTCTGTCAGTGTAATGATTTAAAAACTCTGAGAGGTGTTTATGTAATAATCTTTTGTTTTAGTGTGAAACTGGTGTACTTTAATCTGAGAAACAACCTCTAGACCTGATCAGAACAATGACTAGGAAATGTACATATAAACAAACTGTTCAATGTGATTGAAGTTTCATTAATGCCAAACAGTCATTCCACTCCTCTTGTACCTGCTCATTAATTTAAGTTCGTGGCTGCTAGTCTTGACCCCTGCTTGATGTGACACAAAGAAAAACATTGGCCACTGCCAATGGTTAATGTCATATTATTTGCCAACAGGCTGATGGCAGTCAATAAGGTGAATATCTGCCGATACCGATGTTCAGCCGATAAAGCAGTGCATCCCTAATTAGTCAGAAATTCCAAATTTGCTTGAGGTCAAATACTTTTAGTCACTTTTGCTTTGCCTATTTTGATTAAAATAGCCAAAGCTACCTTAGTAAATGTCGACATTTGTTGCACAGATGTTTGTTTTACCAAACTTTATTAGTTAACTAACAAAACAAGCAACATAGATCTTTGTAAACTAACATGAATCTTCAAGAAAGGTTGTAAATAAAAGCATATTTATAGCCATAATATTTTCAGAAACCTTTTATGAATGAAAATACAACTTTAGCTCTAGTACCTTACCTGGCATACCATGAGAACAGAAGTAACCGGTTGAACATCCTGAAATGGGTCAATGTTTAACTCGTGTGAAATGTGAAATATGTTTATGTTGTTGACTGAGCTGAACAGCAAATAATTCACCCTTTCATGTGTTTGAGTAAATACACAGGCAGACAGACAGACGTTGACCATCCATGTAAATCAGGTGGGCAATTAATTTTCCCAAGGGGCCACATGAGAAACTACTGTGACTATTGTGTAGGACCGAACCAATAGACTGAACTTAATTCTGCTCAATATTAATTGTATTGCTTTATAAAAAGCAATGCAGTGCTCCTAACATAGTGTTGATCATTGTCGTCCCTTTATTGACTGCATTGCTGCCAGCTCCTCCACTACCTCAAAGTCCTTCATTATCCCACGTACAAAGAGGAGTAACTGGGCTGTGTCGTGGACATCGCAGCTCTCATCCAAAGCCAGGGAAGCTCCTCATCAGTGAAGTTCTTGTATTTCTCTGCGTTTAGTCACGTAGCAGCGATTCAACACAACGACCTGTACTCCACAAACTAAGCACACAGCGTTACCTTTGACTACAGTAAGCAAATACTTAGATGTCCATGTCTTGGTAAAAACTCTATATTCTGTATCAACCTGTCTTTTTTTACTGTAAGCTGACATTTTTGAGGGCTAACAGCTAACTCAGCGTCTCTTGTCGAACACATCACTGTGAACGTGCGTAAGCACACACGCATGCATGCACATAAGGAAATCACCTTCAAAATAAAAGCAATGCAGTTGAATTGCGTGCATGCCATGCACTTGTTAAGCCTTTGATTTTGAATTTCTGATAGACCTCCCAAGGGCCAGACACGGACTGCCAAAGGGCCGGATGTGGCCTGGGGACCGTAAAATGCCCAGGTCTGGTGTAAATAGTGTTTGTTTATCTGCAGCTGTTTGTTGGATCTCTGTATAATCCTAACCCTGACCTCAGGCTGTGAGCAGGAAACACGCATCATGTCAGTGTCTCATTATTTAGTCCACATGGGTAAAACAGATAAATGTCAGGAAAGGAATAGAGAACTTCTTATCCGATGGAAAGGAAGAGAGTCAAATAGCGAAACCTTTATCGCTCTGATCAGTTTCCATTGCAGTCTGCAGTCAGTATCATCATCATCAGTGAGTGTCCTGGTTTGAGTTTTCCTTCCTGCAGCAAGAGACAAACAAAAACACCCAATGAACTACATTAACTCTTTCTGTCTGTATTTGCGATTTCTGTCCAGTTATTAGTATGTTAATAGTGATTTGGAACTCATGGGTTTGAAATGAGACAGATGCCAATAGTATACCACGGTTCAATACTGACACCAGAATGATATTATTAAAGGGCCAGTGTGTAATATTTGGCATGTTTTATTGTCAATCTGAATCTGAATCTGAATATTCTACCCATTAATATGTTTATACAAGTGTATAATCGCTATAAAATAAAATTCGTTTGGTTTTCGTAGCCTTATAATTATGCTTTTATATATATATATATAGCAAGGGCCTTGCTTTAGAGAGGTCGCCATCTTGCGCCGCCATGTATGTATGGCAGACCGAGCGGACAATCCAGCCAGCCAGAGAACGCGTTTCGCGTGTATAAATGAACCAACGAAGACAGCGGAAGGAAGGAAGAAGGAGGAGGAAACAGCAGAGAGTGTTAGTAGTTCGTCGATAGAGAGTAGTGAAAAGTTTTTTTAGTTATAAAGTTTGCGGACCACACTTACCATGCAACAGGAGAGAATGAACCCGAACCGTCATCTGCGAGGAAGAGAAGACGCAGCTTCACTCCTTGTGATGCACTCTCTGCGGCGTTTTTCCTCCTGATGATTTATCTCCCCAACGATGGTAGCAGTAGCACCAAATCCCATTCTGTGCATTCAGCCTCTCTCCTCGCCCGCTCAGCATCAGACACATGGAGTTCCTCATCTGTATGCTCCGGCTCAAACAGGTATGGCTCTGGGTCTGTGTCCGCTACAAGAAACTCTTCAAAATCGCGTTCAAAGTCATCCATTGCAGCTACTATAGTCCGGAGATATTGCTAGGCTAAATAAACAGCTGAGCTCTGTTTACCGGCTACGCTGTCAGTCAGTGTGCGGGCTGGAGATTGGTGGAGCAGAGAGGGGAGGGGGTCCCCACTCGGTATGGTAAACGAGTATGTGTGTATGAAGTGTGTCTGTTACGCTAGAAGAGTCAGAGTTTGGGATGGAGTCTTTTACCCCCTGGAGTGTTACCGGAGTTTTTGGAGTGCTAAAATAAACTGGCCTTTTTCCCGAACGCTCCTCTGGTCTCCTGCTCATGAGGGATTCATTACAATATCGTAACATGGCTTAGATTTCTAAATAAATATTCACCTCATCGCTAGATAGACCTACTCCTGAAAAAGTCGTGCGCAAGGCTTTTTGTCGCTACGAGGCCACTGTCATTTACCCGACGGGAGGGGTGAGTGAGTGAGCCCTGCAATCTAGAATTTGACCATTGATGTCACTGTTTTCAACCCATTTTACACACTGGCCCTTTAATGTCTAACTTTGCTGAGTATAAACACATTATTCAAAAACTCAGTCTTTCATGTAATAAGATTTATCGAGTCACAGTTCTCATCATCATCATCAGCATGCATGTTTTTTCTTTTTTATGCCTCCACGCTGGTGATAACTGTGGCTGGACGCATTATGTTTTCTGGTTGTCCGTCTGTCTCATCCTTATGAACACGATATCTCAAGAACACCGCAAGGGAATTTCTATAAATTTGGCTTAAATGTCCACTTGGACTCAACAATGAACTGATTACTTTTTGGTGGTCAAAGGTCAAGGTCACTGTGACCTTGTCTGAACTTTAACATTTTTGTATGTTCAGTTGACCCACTGTGCTCTGACCAAAAGACTCATTTAGACCAGCTACTAATAAGAATGATCTAATTTGGAGTGTACAAATGAATCCATGCTCTCTATTTCATCTCTAATTAGTACACAATTTCAAAATTCAAATGATATAGCCCATTCAGTCTATTTACAGTTCATCTTTGAAAACCCAACTGCCAACATTGAAATTAACCACAGCATTACCCACCTTTATACAGGAGTCTGGGTGAACACTCGATTCTGTTTGGCTGTAGAGTGTCAGTTTAAAACTGAAGTAGTTCTGATGAAGCTGTTCACTGCTCTAAATTAATGCACTGGCTACATAATAGTATCTGTATTCTGTTAACACAGAGAGTAGTACTTCAGTGTCTCATCCTCTGAACACCACAGGAGGGAGACTGCAACACAATCTGCAGGCACTACACTGCTCCTTTGAACTTCAACAATAATTTTACATCCTATCCGCTATTCAACTCACTACTTCAGGCTGCGGCAAACAGTAACGTTACACATGGCGTATTGTTTCTTAGTGAAAATCTTGGTATTGATTTGGGGACAATGACATGGCTTGATAGCTAGCTAGTCTTGTTATTAACATACTGTCAAATTATATTTACTGTTTGTAAACTGTATACAATGCTATTGACTTTGAATTTTGCTAGCATAACTCCAGCTTTCTGCCCAATAGCTGAGCCAAAGGGTTCCATGAGCTGGGCGGACTAGAGTATCTCCTATTGATGAGTCATATCTAGGGTTTGTCCTATTTACTGGAGTAGTGAATAAAGTTTCCATTGCATTAGAACCTTACGGGGTGGCAGTGATTGTTCCAGGTAAAAGGTAAACCCTCAAATGTTAGCTTTGAAACTGAGTTATGGAGATTTTGATTGCAAAAAGCCTAAAAATATGAATGAATATTCTTACTTTTTATTTACAATTTTATTTTTTATTCGGCAAGTGACCATAGTATAAGTGGGATAATAACCTTCGATTTTAATAGCCTTCGCAGAGGCAACTGTTCATGCCTTCATGCAGCCATTAAAAAAGTGTTAAAACGGACAGTCTGAGTCAGTGTGAGTTGTGGATGAAGAAATGGGTTAGGGTGGTTGCTGAGGAGGTCATGAACTGTGTTTCAAGGAAATAAGTAATATATTTGTAACTGCTGGTCTTTGTGTACCTGAAGAAAACAGCCCATTGATTGATGTTTTGTCCTGAAAGGCCTGGCAGTGTTTGTCTAACCTGATCCTCAGTGTAAAGTCGCTGATGGGATATCACCTTTATGGCTGCACGTCCCCACCCTTTGTAAACTGGTCATAAATATACTGTCCACCTCGTGCTCTGACTTTTGCTCCTTTGATGAGATTGCTGGAGATAAATGTACAGAAGGTGAATGTTTGATCTGTGTTACAGCACA